TGAAGTTGGAAGAATCCAGCCTCTTTCTTCCTTATCTTTTTTTTCCCAGGCTTTTTATTTCTGCTTTTCCATCCTTTTCAAGTCAGCCGTTGTTCTCAAGGATTCAAGATGACTGCTGTGGGGCCCGCAGGTTAAGCCGCTGCCTGCAAAGCCAGCATCCTGTGTTGGGGTGCTTGTTCCCAGAGTCCTGGCTGCTCCTCTTCTGATCCAGCTCCCTGCTGACGTGCCTGGGAAAGAGAGGAAGATGGTCCAGGTATCTGGGCCCCTGCCACCTTTAGAGGAGACTGGGATAGGGGTCCTTGCTCCTGGCTTCAGCCTGGCTCAGGCCTAGCCCGCTCCTGGTGCAGCCATTCAGGGAATAAAGCAGCAGATGAAAGATCTCTTTCTGTCTCTTCCTCTCTCCCTGTTTCTCTTTCTTTTAAGTAACTAATAAAGTGTTTTTAAAAAGAGATGACTGCTGCGCCTCTCTATCTCACATCTGTGTTGCAGGCAGGACACAAGGGTGGGAGCTGGAGGAAGGAGGGAGGGAGATGAGGGCTTGCAAAAGGTTAAAGAATAGCTGTTGAGTCTGTCTCTTCAAATGAAAACAGAAACTTTTCTGATAACACCAAGCAACTTCCACTGGCATATCACTGGCCAGAGCTCTGTCCTGTGGCCGCCTCTACCTGCTAGCAGCCTTCAAGTCAAGGGGGATGTAAATACTTTGGGGTAGCCAATTTATAGTATCCACACATTAATAAAGGGACTTCAGAAAACTTGTGGACAAACGGAATTCCAAGATAAGTTTATTTTGGTGCAAAATACTTTGAAGGCGTTTTTTTGGTTGTTGTTAAAGATTTATTTATTTATTTAATAGTCAGAGTTACACAGAGAGAGGCAGAGAGAGGTCTTCTGTCTGCTGGTTCACTCCCCAGATGGCCGCAATGGCCGGAGCTGTGCCGATCCGAAGCCAGGAGCCAGGAGCTTCTTCCAGGTCTCCCACGTGGGTGCAGGGGCCCAAGGACCTGGACCATCTTCTGCTGCTTTCCCAGGCCATAACAGAGAGCTGGATTGTAAGAAGGGCAGCCAGGACTAGAACCAGCACCCATATGGGATGCTGGCGCTTCAGGCCAGGGCATTAACCCGCTGCGCCACAGCGCCGGCCCCGGCATTTTTTTTTTTTTCTCATAGTGTACATTTTCCATGTCTTTTGAAGATTCTTTGTACATTTTCCTATTTAATCTCCACCAAAGCCTTGAGGGACTGGTAACGTTATGATTTTTGTTACAGATGAGTAAGCTGAGGCCAGGAGAGGTCAGGGACTAGCCCGGGGGATGCAGAGTTCACAAGTGGCAGAGGACGGGACCCCAGGTCTGCCTGACTGGAGGGTGTGAGCCCTACACTGTCATATGATATGCAGAGTCTGCCGTATGCCTGGCCCATAGTAGATGCTTAATGGGGCGTTACTTCCTTTCTACTGCTGGTTTATTGCCAAGGAATAAAGCATTCGAAAGTCAGGAGTTGAAAACTATAGCCATTTTATTTGCTTATGATAGTTGAGTCTGGGCTGGGCTCAGGTGGCTGGTTTTTGTGCTGATTTTGAATCTGATCACCCTGAGCTTGCACCAGCTCACAGGGCCTGCTTTTAGGGCCTCTTCAAAGGTCTCTCCAGCAGGGTCGTCAGACTTCTTCCACAGTTGTTCAGGGCTCCCAAGAATGAGTGTTCCAAGAGGACCAGCTCCAGCATGTGAGCATTTATCGAGCCTCCACGTGCGTCATGCGTGGTGAGGTTTATTTATTTATTCAAAAGTCATAGTTACAGAGAAGCAGAGGGAGAGAGAAAGAGAGAGAGAGGGAGAGAGAGAGAGGTCTTCCACCTGCTGGTTCACTCCCCAAATGGCTGCAACGGCTGCAGTTGTGCTGATCCAAAGCCAGGAGCCAGGAGCTTCTTCCAGGTCTCCCATGCAGGTACAGGGGCCCAAGCACTTGGGACATCTTTTGCTGCTTTTCCAGGCCATAACAGAGAGCTGGATTGGAAGTAGAGCAGCCGGGACTTGAACCAGCGGCCATATGGGATGCTGGCACTGCTGGTGGCGGCTTTATCTGCTGTGCCATAGCGCTGCCCCCCATTAATCTTAAAAAAAAAAAAAGTGCCTTTGTGTTCTTCATGCAGACACCTGGCTAATTGGGTAGCTGCCTCTATTCTAGCTGGGATTCTTGTAGCCCCAAGGTCTCCCGATTGGCTCCAAAGCTGAGACATTCTCAGGCACCTGGTCAAGAATTCCTACAAACAAGAACACCTGAGACTGCATGACACCAACATCTGTCAGACACTCTTAAAATACTACGGAGAAGCCGGCGCCACGGCTCACTAGGCTAATCCTCTGCCTGCAGCATCGGCACCCTGGGTTCTAGTCCCTGTTGGGGCGCCGGATTCTGTCCTGGTTGCTCCTCTTCCAGTCCAGCTCTCTGCTGTGGCCCGGGAGGGCAGTGGAGGATGGCCCAGGTCCTTGGGCCCTGCACCCGCATGGGAGACCAGGAGGAAGCACCTGGCTCCTGGCTTCAGCTCGGCGCAACACGCTGGCCATAGCGGCCACTTCGGGGTGAACCAACAGAAAAAAAGGAAGACCTTTCTCTCTGTCTCTTTCTCTCTCTCTAACTCTGCCTGTCCAAAAAAAAAAAAAAAATATATATATATATATATGGAGACGTGGATTTGGAAGATTCATTTATGGAGAACAGGGAGGGTGGGGCGGGTGATACCTGCAGAGGTACATCTAGGAGAGCAGGGCTGGAGCAGAATTGGTTGAAAAGTCCCAGGAAGAGTGTGTGGTTCTCCCAGATCCTGGCAGTGGGGGGATGGGAGGGGGCAGAAGGGCTCCTGCATCTCTCATTTCCTGGGCACTCAATGCTTTCTGCATAAGATGCCCCAGAGATGGTTTTTCTCATTAGAACAAATGCCAAAGATGTAATGCCTTCCTCGTTTATGTTTTTCTTGATGTGCTTCTGCTTAAGCAAGTGAGCCCTTAATGTCAATTTCAATTAATGTTGCTGCATCTGATCTTGGTGGTGAAGCTCCAGGATGCAATTGGGGGTGGAGGAAGGTCGCTGGGAATTGGGGGAGGGGAGGTGTTCCCTCTTGAGGCACTGGTGAGGGAGGCACGGGGAGGGAAGCGTGGAAGATTTGCTCCCTACGTAAAGAAGACCATACTTGAAAGCAGTCAGCCTTTTGTTTTATGAAAAATGAGTGTGGAGACCCAGTGGCAAGATAGAGTATAGCAGGGGCTGTGAGGGCTGAGCCAGCGAGGAGTGAGAGACACACAGCTTTACCTTGACTGTGAGAGTCCTCAAGCCACCAGTCACGGGGCTAGGGCTACAGGCTCCAAGCCTGCAACCTGCTCTCCTAGAGGTTCCCCGATTTTTTTTTTTTTCCAGGCAGAGTGGACAGTGAGAGAGAGAGAGAGAGAGAGAAAGGTCTTCCTTTTTGCCGTTGGTTCACCCTCCAATGGCTGCCGCGGCCAGCACACTGCGCTGATCAGAAGCCAGGAGCCAGGTACTTATCCTGGTCTCCCATGGGGTGCAGGGCCCAAGCACTTGGGCCATCCTCCACTGCACTCCCGGGCCACAGCAGAGAGCTGGCCTGGAAGAGGGGCAACTGGGACAGAATCCGGCACCCCGACCGAGACTAGAACCCGGTGTGCCGGCGCCACAGGCGGAGGATTAGCCTAGTGAGCCGCGGCGCCGGCCGAGGTTCCCCGATTCTGCCACAGACAGTTTCCCCTTCCTCTGAGGACGACTCAAAGCTCGGTGTGCGACCTGAGTTCACAGGTGCTCAGAGAGGTAGAGATGGTCGGTGTAACCCGCCAGCCCTTCCCCCTTTCCTTTGTTCCCTCATTTCTCCCTCCCTCCCTTCCTGTCTGTCTTCCAGGGGAATCTGTTCAGGAAAGAGAAGACGTGAATTTATGTTCTCTAAGAGGTTCAGGAAGGATCGTCTCTCCTTCTAGCAGTCGGAGTTCTTGTTCTTCATCCTCTTCTTCGCCCTAAGAGCACTTTCATGGGTCAGGGGCCACCACACACATTATTTCCAGGATTCACAGCAACCTTCTTGGTTAAGCCCATTTTACAGAAGTGGAAATTGGGGCCTAGAGAGAGGGAGGGCTTGCCTGGTAAGTAGCAGGATTGGAATCTGAACTGAGGCTTGTTTGAATTCTGGCTCCAGTGTCATCCTTTACTAAGCTCTTAGGACAGCCAGGCTCCTGGCTAAGACTTGCTAGTGGGTATGTCTGAAGTGAAAAATCTGGAACTTCTATTCAAGTTCCAGACATCCACATCAACAAGGATTAAGCCTAGAGGTCAAGCTGCAAGCTGGGAGGGCACTAGCCCAGTTCTGCTGCAGCTCTTGATGGGCAGTTTCAGCACACCTGATGTGCGAGATGCCTCACTTCTCTAGCCATAACATGGAAGAGTGGGACCAGATATCTCCAGGAGCCAGTTCAGTGCAACCCAACCTGATGGCACAAACAAGACTTCCTGTGTGACTCTGCTGGCGGGATACAAAGATGGACAAGACAGACCTCGGGCCCAGGCGAGCTGGACGTGTGCACGAATGGTTACAAAGACAGAGCAATAAAGCTTGCAGTGTAGACAGCTTCACTGGGACTTGCCCAGTGACAGTGTGTGCGGCAGGCTTTGTGGAGCACTCGGTCTTGGAAAGAATCAGAACAAGTAGAGGTGGAGGCGGGAGGAAGCTTTTCCCAGGCAACAGGACACAGACAGAGGAACCTGGTCAATCCATAAAACTGTAAGAAGTAGTGAATTGTTGTTTTCAGCCGCTAAGTTTTTGATGTGGTACGTTTTACAGCTCCAGGCAAACTAAGTGGCTGCCTGTAACCTACAGGTCGGAGATTGGCACTCGGCAGACCGGAGCCTGCAAGAACTGACCTGCAGATGTAATTTATTAGGTTTGCACAGGGTTGTTTTAAAATATTGGAGGAAGCCCTTAAGAGGACTCCAGCGGTTTGAAAACCCTCTGGGGGAGGTGTCTGTTCCAGCAGGAAGAATCATGACTTCCACACTGACAATCAAACCGTTTTGAATGTTTGCTCTTAGGCTCTGTGCTAAGTGCTTCCCATACATTTATCTTCTTTTTAAGAAGGCTTGCAGCAAGCCCAGGATGTAGGGAATTCATTATCCCCATTTTAAGAACCTGGTGCTTGCCCAGGGAGAAGGTAATTTGCCCAAGAGCACACAGCTGGCAAGCAGTGCAATGGGGTCTGGACCCAAACGCATTGGAAGGCAAGGATGGCAGCCTGCAGGCCACCCACAGTCCTCAGAGGTGTGTCTTTAGGTCTGCATTTTCCTTTAAAAATCCGAGTGAGTTGCCAGCAGTTAAAACCCAGAATAGGAGTGAGAGCTTTTTTTCTTCCCCATGTTAGATCTGGCAATAGGCAACACTGGGGGCCTGCTCCCACATAAATCAGCTGCATCCCCTGGAGGGGTGGGAACGCCTAGTCTGGCATGAATTCCTACTCTCTGTTACCTTACACCTGACTCACTTGGCTAATTTACAGTACCTTTTGAAATTCATGCATAAAAGGGCCTCTCTGAGAAAATGACATTTGGGTGGGAACCTGAAGGTCAGAAGTGAGCCATACCAGTCCACGGAAGGAGAGCCAGAGCTTCTGAGGCAGCCACAACAGCACGAGCAAGGGCCCGGAGGTTGCAGCAAAGGGGCCGGTGTGTCTGCAGCAGAGTGAGGGGGGTGAGGACAGTGGAGGAGGAGCTCAGAGGGTCGAGATGGCAGGGCACACAGGGCTTTGTAGGACGTAAACCTAATCCTTAGTGCCAGCAGGGAACAGGACATCTTCTGCACAAGCAAGTTTCCCAACGAATGTCATGAACGGAGCAAGGTGAGCGCCTCAACTTGCCTGGTGGTGAGGCGGAAGACTTCTCAGAGGTGGTGGTCCCTGAGCTCATGGTAGAACTGGAGACAAAGGGGCGGAGCAATTCAAATAAAGAAAATGCTACAGCCACCGGTTCTGAGACATTGTGGTATGCAAACCAACACAGAGGCCAAGCCGGGTGTGTGGGAGTGGCCAGGGTGATGGAGGGGAGGAGCCAAAGAATGGCCAGAAAGGGAACACTGGAGGCTGGCAGGGGCTAGATTAATTCATTGGTCGGCTGATTCCTTCACTCAAGCATTTATTGAGCTCTAGGTGCGTGCACTAGATCTGGGAACATAGTGATGTACTGGCAAAAATTCCTGGTCCCACGGATGTTACGTTTTAGTAGCAGAGCCAGACAAAAACACATAGAGAAATAAATGACGGAACAAGAAGCCAGCCTAGACAACAGCTTTACACGGATGTTCAGGAAGTCCTTCCCCCAGGAGGTGACAGGTCTCGCTGTCGGTGTCACCTCTGTCCGATTTCTCTCCCTTTGAAACGGGGGCATGGAGGGCATCAAACCACGGAAGGGCAGTTACAACTGCTGGTCCGGCCAAACGAGGACGCGATGCAAACTCTGCGGCGTCCTCAGGAATCCAGGTTCCTAGGCGGATTCCGGGAGAAGCGATATGAGAAACACTATCACGACATCACAGATCAGCGCGGGCATGGACAACCTGTCTGATCAGTTCCCAGCCTTCAGAGACATCTGCAGCCGAGGTCGAAAGGGACACTCCTGGAAGACCCTTCTGGCGCTCCCCTGGGACACTGACTCAGTGAGAGATCCCTATAGGACCGTGTACAGGAGGCAGGGCCTCCACCCAGGTCAACATCAGGTATTAAACATCTGCGCTTCTGACGATCCTGGAATTTAACCTGCTTTTCGGGTAGAAGTGACACCTCTTGCCCAGGCCCTCCTCACCGCAGCCCCTCCGTCCAGCCCCAGCCTGGGCAGTGAGGAACAATCCAGGCGCCGCGTTTCTCTCGGGAGGAACTGAAGCCCCCTCCCACCCCGCCCACCCCGCGCGCCCCCCGCTCGGCCCTCCCCTCGGGCACGCCGCCACCTTCCGCTCCTCCCGAGGGGCCGCCCCGGCGCCCGCTGCTCCCGGCCTCCTCCAAGCTTCCCCGCTGTGGGGTTCGCTTCAGCCCCGCCTCCGCCCCGCCACTTGCGCAGGCCCCGCCCCTCCACGCGTGACTCCGCCTCCGGGCACCGGCTCCCCCCTAGCTCCGCCCACAGCCGCTCCTCTTTCGCGCCCTGCCCGGGCTGCCCGCTCTCTGAGGACTCCACCTTCTTCTAATTCCTGTGCTCGCCAGGCATCGCCCCCGCCTCTCAGACCCGCCCCGCCTGCGGCTCCGTCCTGGAGTCCGGGGCTCTCCCTCCCTGGCGGACCGGGTGCGCACCTCCGTCCCTCCTCCCTGCCAGGCCCCGCCCCGGCACCGCCTTCCTCTTCTCCCCGCCGAGTCTCTGGACCTTTCCAAAGCCAGGCTGAGGGGGTGGGGAGAGCCCATGCGCCTGGGGGGCCGGGCTGTGGCCAGGCGGGGCGGCGGACTCCTCGTGCTCGCGTCCCCGTGCCCTTCCCGGGAGGCCCAGGCGAGAGGAAGGGGGAGCCCCGGGCCGGCGCTGAAGCCGCCGCGCGGGCGGAGCTGGGGAAAGCCGCTCTGCGTACCCCCACCCCCGCGCGCCTGAGTGGTGCCCGCCGAGGGAAGGACTCGCAGCTGTGAGGCTCGCGCCGCTGTCAGTGCGGCGGGGCGCGCGAGCTGCGCGGCACTGGGCGGCCCAGCCGAGAGAGGCTGAGGGGGCGGGAGCGGCGCCCGTGGCGACCCCGGCGAGCGTGCTCAACCCCCTCTCGCCGCGGCCGCGGCCGTCTCCTCCCTCTCCCCCTCCCTTCCGCCCCCGAGCGCGGCGGCACCGCCTCCTTCCGCGCCGCGCGGCTTCCTCCAGACCTCTCGGCGCGGGTGAGTGGGGGCCGTGGGCGTCTCCTCAGGGGTGCGGGGAGGTGTTCCTCGTGCCTTCTCGGTCTCCCGCCTCTTCAGGCTGGCCGCTGCCTATTTTTAGAAACTCTTTTTTTCGGTCATTCGGGGAGTCCCGAGAGCCAGAGTAACTCCAGGCCCCCTCCCCCGCCCCTCTCCCCTACCCGCGCCCGCCGCCCTGGGTCGCCAGCCCCGGCCGATCCGCGCCGGCTGCCGGCCGCCCTGGCTTTCCCTGCCGGCTTCCTCTCCGCGGGCCAAGAGTTGGCGGGGTGGGCCCGCGCCCGCTTCGAAGTTGGAGTCTTTGTGCTGGTGTCCCGCCCCGCCCCGCCGGGCGAGGGGAGGAGTGGGGAGTGGAGGCCGCGCCGGGGAGACCTCCGGCGGGCAGGCCCCGGGCCGGGGTTTTCTCCGGCTCGAGTCTGCGGGCTCCCGGAGGCGCGCAGAACTGTTCCTGCCTCGCCCCTGCTGGCCCTGGGTTCATTGCACACTTCGGGCTTGGAGCAGAACAGCAGGCCCTCGAACTGGGGCCATGTTCCCCAGCTCCCTCGCGGCCGAGCCCCAGTTTGCCTCTCCATGAAAAGGGGGAAGGAGAAACTCATGCATTCAAGGAGGGAGCTGATACGCGAGAGAAGTGGTTAACACCAACAGGTCACGTTTAATGAGGCTCGACTGAAACTTCTAAGCCTTATATAATGCTCACAGTGGCCCTCTGGAGTTGTTCTTATTTGTAGGCACAGAAATGAAGGTTGCAATGAGATTAAAGAATTTGCTCCAAGTCACAGTTAAGTGCAGAGCGAGGGTGCTGGTACCTGTTAATTAGTTCCTGGTGTGATCGTGTGTCATCTCCTAGCGCCGGGTGGGGGATTTTGACCTACCCTGGGTCACACCATGACTTGGAGACAGTTCCCGGTTCCCCCGTGCGCTGTGCTATGGATGAAATCCCACCCCGGGAAAGGCACTAAGGATGAATTTGTTGCTACTACTGCTTTAGGAGGCGGTGGATGCGAAGGACTGCAGATCAGGAGCGCAGCCGAACTTCGCTGGACTTTGGCTTAAGGAACCCTTGTCTTTCTGAGCAGCAAGGCGGGCCACCATGGCACGAGCCTGCCTTTAGACTCTGCACATTCTCTGTGCTAGTTAGATTTGTAGATCCTAATTTGGGCGGGAACAGTTTAAGGCATCTGCTTGAACTCCCTCCCTTCAACTAAGGTTTTATTTCTCCTATTTTCATGTAAGGCCCCCACGAGTTAAAGTGAACTAAAATTACCTTTGGCAGGTGTTCCGCTTTTCCAGCGTGTTTTATCCTGGTTGTGGGGAGTGTTTAAAAATCAGGCAAAGGAGTTTCCGGGCCAGGTCTTGAGTTTCCTGTTGTATGCAATGGTTCTTTGGAGTCTGGCAGGTCTGTGCTCTACCCTCATCCCCAGCAATTCTGGAGTTGGGGGTTGTTTGTGGGAACGGGGAAGAGGTCTTACAAACCATCTGGTTTACCTTTCATGTCTGTCTCTCCTCCTATGACCTGACCTGTGAAAGAGGAAGTAAGTTGTCTGAATTCAGACTGCTTTAGAACTAGAATTCCTTGGGCTGGTGCTGTGGTGTACCTGGTTAAGCCGTCACCTGCAACACTGGCATCCTGTATGGGTGCAGTTTTTTTTTTTTTTTTTTTAAGATTTATTTATTTATTTGAAAGTCAGAGTTACACAGAGAAGGAGAGGCATGGAGAGAGGTCTTCCATCAGCTGATTCACTCCTTAATTGGCTGCAACGGCTGGAGCTGCGCTGATCCGAAGCCAGGAGCTTCTTCCGGGTCTCCTACGTGGGGGCAGGGGCCCAAGGACCTGGACCATCTTCCACTGCATTCTCAGGCCATAGCAGAGAGCTGGATTGGGAGTGGAGCAGCCGGGAGTCGAACCAGCGCCCTTATGGGATGCTGGCACTACAGGCAATGGCTTTACCTGCTATGCCACAGCGCTGGCCCCATGGGTGCAGTTTTGTGTCCCTCTGCTCTACTTCTGATCCAGCTGCCTGCTAGTGGCCTGGGAAAGCAGTAGAGGATGGCCTAAGTGCTTGGGCTCCTGCACCCATGTGGGAGACCCTGATGAAGTTCCTGGCTTTATCCTGGCCCAGCCTTGGCCAGTGTGGCCACCTGGGGAGTGAATCAATGAATGAAAGATCTGTCTCTCTTGTCTCTGCAATGCTGCCTTTCAAATAAATAGTTTTTTTTTTTTAAAGGACTAAAATTCCCAGTCTTCTCCCTCCAAATTCAGTAATACTTTTATTTTTTCATACCTTGCCACCTCTTTAAGGAGCACTAAACCATTCCTTTAAGATGGGAATCCTGAGTATTTGGAAATCCTGAGGACATTGTAGTCCCAGCCACTTTTATGCTTCATGTTTAACATTAAAAGGAGGCTAGCTTTGATGCACAGTTGCACCAGTTTTCATTTTCACTTTAAAAAAATACTATTTACTATTTATGGTTTATAGTACTCTTCTAGAACTATTATCTAATTTCATTTCTAATCCAGTTCTGCGAGGGAGTCACAGAGCTTGGTTTATGTCTCCTATTATAAGGCAGTGGAGACATAACAAGGTTAGGGCATTTGCCTTAATCCCAGAATTTGGGAGTGGTGAGCTCAGGACACCGCGTGAGCAGAGGTATTGCAGTGGCATCATGAACTGATGCTGAACTCTCTGAGCCTCAGTTTCCTTATCTCTAAACTGTGGGAGCTGAGAAAATGGCTGTGGAAGTATTTGTAGTAATAGTAATAATAGCCAACCTTTGCTAAGTGCTTAGCGGGTAATGCCAGTCACTGGACTAAGGGCTTTCCATGGAGTGTGTCGTTTAATCCTCCTTAGAGTAACCTATGAATTAGGTGCTGTGTTTATCCCTGTTTTACAGAGGAAGAAACAGACTTAGGTTACATGGGTAAGTGTCCAAGCAAGGATTTAAACTGCAAACAGTATAAAGCTGGCAAGCTTTAAAAGAAAAAAATAATTGTGAAATACATATATAACATAAAACTTCTAAGTGGATGGTTTTGTGGCTGTAAGTACACTGACACTGTACAGTCAGCACCACTGTCTTCCAGAGCTTTTTATCTTCCCCAGCTGGAAGTCTGAACCCATTCAACACTAGCTTCCCAGTCTCTCTTCACCCCAGCCCCTGGCAATCTCCATTCTACTTTCTGTCTGTAAATATGGCTACTTATGGGATCTAGTATTAAAAGTGGGATCATATATTAATTGTCCTTATATAATTGGCTCCTAATCTCAGAGTGCCCTGGTAATGCGGAGGTGATGCTTAGTCCTCATCTGTAGCAGAGTGTGATGTGCAGGCCCAGAGCAGGAACCTGGGCCTGGTTGTATCTGGTGAAGACTCCTCTCCCTTCCCCTTCCTTACCGCTGAAGCTTTTTCAGGATCTCTGCTGGCCCCCTCTGTATCTTCAGAAGAGACTTGAGACTTCCTACCCTTGAGATAGAACCAAGACAATACCTCCTAGAGGCCTTGTTTGCCCTTGTCTCTCTGACCATCCAGGGTTTGGGCATATGGGGCTGCAGTGCTATGACAGCAGCTTGGATCACAAATATTCAGAGGATGATTAAGGATTACCTTTATGAAGTGCTTCCTCTCTGTGTCCATAAAGGCACACAGGAGGGATTAGCTTTTGGGCTCTGAGAGGGCATTTTTGGTTCCTCACTGCTTGGAGGTGGTTAAGATGAAGTTAGATGGTACATTAACCTCTCAAAATTGCCTTTGGTTTGACTGTTTTGCTCTCTGTGTATTTGAGGAGGTGGGGGTGTTTATGAAAGATGGTTGGAATTTCGTCTTGGTAGCATCAGGAGGTTGGGATGGGGCGTGGAGGGGGAGGTGCTGTGGACCAGAGATGGATAATAGGATAACACACCCATGATCATGTGTCTTATGTTGTGCTTTCCCTAAAGATCTGATGGCTCAGCGTTGCCTGTATATTAAGTATAAACCCGTGTGAGCACTGAGGTCAGAGTATGCTGAATTGTTTATTAGATAGAATCTTGTAGTTGAGGGGGCCTTAAAGTCAAAATTTATTTTTATTAATTTGAAAGAGCTCATCTGTCAACTGATTGGCCCCCCAACAGCTCCCCTGCCTGCAACAGCTAGGGCTGGGCCAGGTCGAAGCCAGGAGCCAGGAGACACCATGCAAGTTTTCCATGTGAATGACAGGAACCCAAGTACTTAAGCCCTCATCTGCTGCCTGTCAGAGTGTGCATTAGCAGGAAGCCGGATGGGAAGCAGAGATGGGACTCCATCCCAGGTGCTCCTTTGGGATGTAGGCATCGCAGGGAGCTACTTACCACAACACTTGCACCCCCTTAACGGTGTTTAGACCAGCTACTTGGCCAGCATTTGCATTGGCTCCTTGTTGAGATACTGTTTCATTGGACGCCTCCTGGTTGTCCTGGGGATTTGGGTGCCTGCAGCCTAGTGGGAAGACAGGTAAGGAAACAGGCAGTATGAGAAGTGTGACGAGATCAAGCACTGTGGGAGCACAGCCTGAGGGTAAGGGAAGCTTCCCCATCACCTTTTTTTTTTTTTTTTAAAGAGATTTATTTATTTGAAAGAGCTACAGAGAGGCAGAAGCAGAGAGAGAGAGAGAGAGATGTCTTCCATCCACTGGTTCAGTCTCCATTGGCTGCAACAGTTGGAGCTGAGCCGATCCAAAGCCAGGAGCTTCTTCCGGGTCTCCCACATGGGTGCTGGGGCCCAAGGAATTGGGCCATCTTCTACTGCATTCCCAGGCCATAGCAGAGAGCTGGATTGGAAGTGGAGCAGCTGGGACTCAAACCAGTGCCCATATGGGATGCCAGAACTGCAGGTGGCAGCTTCACCCTCTATGCCACAGCACTGGCCCCTCCTCCTCACCTTTTTAAAAAGTTTCTATATTTTCTTTGAAATTTTAATTTTTGGGGCCAGCATTGTGGCATAGAGGTTAAACCTCCGCCTGTGATGAGGCATGCTGTATAAGCTCCAGTTTAATTCCCGGCTGCTCTGCTTCCAATCCAGCTCCATGCTAGAGTGCCTGGGAATGTGGCAGGGGATGGCTCAGGTGCTTGGGCTCCTGCACACACGTGGGGGACCAGGAAGAAACTCCGGGCTCCGGGCTCCTGACTTCTGCCTATTTGGGGAATGAACCAGCAGGTGGAAGATCTCTTCCCCCCTTTACTTTGTAAAAAAAAATAATAATAAAAATAAAATTTTATTTGAAAGAAAAACATGGAGAGTTCTCTCTCCTTATTCACCTCTCCAAGTACCATGAATAGGCAGAGTTGGGCCAGGCCAAAGCCTGGAGCCTTGAATTCAATCCAGGTTTCCATGCTATGGTCTTTTGAGAGATAGCTATAATTACTCACATTCTGTGCGTGAAGAAACAGCTCCAGAGGGGTTAAATAAATTCCTCAAGATTCCTGGGTGGAGCCTAAAGCATGAGGTGGGTGGGTGTGGCAA